GGTGAGGGAAAGAGAAAATTCCCAAGTCATAGAATTTTTGTTTCTAAATCTATTTTTCTTCTTTACTTTTTTTGCCTCTTTGATGTGTGAAATCAGAATCTTCTGTACTCATAAAGAAAACAAGAGTCACAGTCCAAAAAGGACTGGTTGTCCATTTTAAATCATTAGGCTCCGAGAAAAATAAAACAAATCAACCATCCATTCAATCTCTCTAATACTACTCTTTCTTCTGTTTACTAAAACAATAAAATTATATGAATAATTATTTAAGTATTAAATATTCACAATTTAATTCCTGATTTAATATATTTTACTAATGTTTAAGAATTAATTTTATAATTTTTTAATATTTGAAGGACTACTTATTATCATTTTTAATAATTGGGGAGTTATTTATATAATTACCCACATTAAAATTTAAATACGATTTAGAAGAGACTGCAATTATTTAGGGATGAAATTAAGGGTTTAATCAAAACCAAACATAAGTGGACGTCTTTAAACTTATGGAAAAAATGGAGTAGTTAAATTCGATTCCGCGTTTTCATCTTTTCTTTTGGTAGACAATTTATATTCACACACAACATAATACATCTAACACTTTTTGTTTCTACACGAACATCAAACTAAATTTTAACATTTAATGATGTTCTTTGACATTTATAGTTGATAAGAATTCAAATCAAACTTAAATACGGGAACTAAATTTGTGCTCTATTTTATTTTCAATATATAAAAAATATGTAGGAGTATATGTTAATAAGTACAAATATAAATAAAGATATTTAAATCTTGTTTTAGTGGACATATTTACTTAAAGAGATCTCTTGATGTGAGAGAAATTCTTGTTTAGTGAACTTCTACTAATCCTTAATTCGATAATTAAAGATTTAGATTAAATTGAATATTATTAAATTTTGGTTAACCACTAAATAAATGGTGGTGCTTGATGGTAATGGCTTATGTAGAGATGCTATCCTCATCCTTTATTATCCTTTTTATGAATAAAAAAATTATAATAAGGAGAAAATAACCTAGCATGTATGAAATATGAAATCGATCTTTATATATTAAACACGAATATATATTTTGCATAAGAGTATTTTAAGAATTTTTCTTCAATAAATATTTTTTTAACTTTAGTTTTATTTATCATAATTATTTATGAACTAAATTTTAAAATTTTAAAATAAGTTAGCAATATATAAAAATAATATTATATTTTATAATATAAATATTATTTATTATAAATCTAAAATATAATTTATAAATTTTAAATATCTATTATATAAATTTAAAATATATAATTAAATATAATATTTATTTGTATATAATTTATTATAAATTTTAATTATATATAACAAATATTTAATCAATGAATTATGTGAGACCGGACGGACTTTCTTCCTTTCCCCAACTCTCTTTCTCTCTAAACTCTCATTCCTCACTCTTCTCTTCCATCAATTGCTGATTTCTTGTGGTGATCTAGGTGCTGACTAGAGCTGATTGAGTGTGCCGGACGGATTTCCTTTCTTTCCCATTGAGCTTCTTCTCCGCTCGTTCAAGCTTCTTCTCCTTTCTTCTTCCCGGAGCTCGGAATCTTTGCACCGAGGTAAGGGAAGTTAGGATTCATGTTGGTTGTGTGAAAATGAGTTTAGAACTCATGGATGGTTTGATGATTTGGCTGAGATTGAAGAAAACTCATTTTTCGGGAATTGGGTGAAATTTGGGCATTTTTTATTGTTTGTGGTTACATGTGTAAAAAGATGGTATTTTTGAGCTGTTTGATGAAAATGTGGCATTTTGGCTGGTTTGCATGTGCTGAAAATATGGATTTTTGCAGGTTTTGGGCAAGATTTTTGAACTTGGTAAGTTGCTGCTGAGTACCACGTCGGGCGCGTGACCACCAGAGGGCTCCATTTGGGCAAGCCCGCCGGGCGCAAGGGTGTGTGCGCTGGGTGAGCTTGAGAATGTGAGCCTCTAGATAGCCCACGTCGGGCGTCGCTTGGATCGCGTCGGGCGCGATATCAGTGTGTAACATGTTTTTGGGATTTCTAGTGTCGTGCCGGGCGCGACTATGTCTTGCCGGGCGTGGGGACTCCTTGGGAGTCCCTACCAAGGGGGCGCCGGGCACAATTGGCATTGCACCGGGCGTGAGACCTTGGGGAGGTATATGCCTTCCTTGCACCGAGCGCGGGTTTGGGCATGCTGGGCGCGTGAGACTCCTCAGAGTCTTTGCCTGGGTTTGCGCTGGGCGCAATTGGTTTTGCGTCAGGCGCGTTTGAGCCTTGGGCTCTCTAGTTGGTCTACGCTGGGCGCGAGTATTCTTGCGCCGGGCGCGCTGGTACCTGGTGCTCCCTGGTTGTGCCACACCAGGCGTGACCATGAGTGCGCCAGGCGCGGATGTGATGTTTTATTATATGACGTTTATGCTGATTAATGTTGTTAATGTCGTATGATGAAAAGTTGAGCTGTGTTGTGTTTTGTTTATGCTGAATTATAATGTATAAGTTGTGCTGTATAATATTGAGCTATGCTGAATGTTGTCATTGCTGATTTGTTGTGTTGTGTTGCATGCTGATATAAACTGTTGTAGGCCATAAGGCTGAGCTGTTCTAGGTCGTAAGGCTGAGCTGGTGTAGGAGATCTCCAAGCTGATATGCATGACGACGCATTATGTGTGTATTACTATTTATGCTGTCTGATGTGAGTTGTATATGTGATGAGTTGTATGCTGATGATGTGTTGATAGTTGTAGCTGTTTACCATTCATGTATTCTTATATATGTATGCTAATTCTTTTCACTAGCTTACCCTTTGTTGTCTCCATGTGGTTTGGACTGCAATGATCATACTATGTATGAGAGCAGAACAGGGATAGACTGGTCCTAAGGCAGGTCTGCAGCTGGCAGATGAAGTGGATGTTTGATGTTTTGTTGTTTTGGCCACTAGTTTGGCTACCTTTGGATGTATTTTGTATACTCTGATTTTAAGCCCCAGGCTAGACCTTGTGTATATATATTAGTTGCTTATATATATACTTGTCCCTTTCTGTGTGGTGCGGTAATGTTGTTAGTTGTGTGTGACAGCCAGGCGGGTCGTTACACTTTGGTGGTTTCAGAGTAGTTCGAGTCTAGTAGACACTCTGTGGGGGTGGTTCCTTTAGGCTTTTGTTGTGCTGAGCTCTGTGTTGTGTTGCTTTGCTGTGCCGATTTCTTTGTTGCTTGTTGTGCTGATGATTGTTGTTTGGTTTAGTTATTGTGTACTGGCTGTTACTTTTATAGACAATGACTAGAACTAACGAGCAGATAGCCCGTGCCATGGAGATGATGGTTATTGCTATGCAGTAGCAAAATTCTTATTTTGCTAGGATGGATGTTGATCGAGCTGCAGCTGGTGCAGCAAGACTAGTGGGGTCATAGGAGAGCCAGGATCTAGCTGAGTTCCGGAAATTCCATCCTTCATAGTTCAAGGGAGATGCAGACCCAGAGGTAGCTGACCATTGGATCTGTGAGATGGAGAAGATCTTTGCTGTGTTGGGATGTTCTCAGGAGAGGAGGCTGGCATATGTTGTATACATGCTGGTTGGGGAGGCCGAGCATTGGTGGGGAGGTACCCATCACATGCTGACTGCTAGGGGAGCTGCTGTTGATTGGGAGTGCTTCAGGAGGGTGTTCCTGGAGAAGTACTTCCTGGAGAGCGTGAGGCACGCCAAGGAGGCCGAGTTCATGCAGTTGTACTAGGGAGGGATGACAGTATCTGAGTATGCGATGAGATTCGAGCACCTAGCTCGTTTCTACTCGCCAGCTATATCTGAGGCCTGGAAATGCAAGAAGTTTGCTGAGGGTCTAAAGCAAGAGCTGAAGAGGGTGGTGGTGTCTGTGGCCATCATTGAGTTTCTGGCCTTGGTGGAGAAGGCGAAAGTTTTTGAGCGGTTGAAAGGTGGCAACCGTGTGACTAAGACTGTTGAGGGACTAGTTGGGTCCAAGAGAGGAGGAAATCAGAGGAAGCCATATGATAGGCCCCAACCACAGCAACGAGGTCCTGTCATAAGGCAACCTGCTGATGCTGCTAAAGGAGGGAGACAAGGTGGAGGTGCCACTCTTAGATACTACAGGTGTGTTGGGCCCCATTTTGTTAGGGATTATCCACACACGGAGAGCCGGTATTTCAGGTTCCATCAGATAGGTCATGAGTCGACCAACTGTCCTGCCAGAAATAGACCGAAGAAGGGTGCTCAGAGGGGTGATGCTCAGAGGGGTGATAGACTTACTACTGCTGGCAGAGTATTCGCTTTGACTAGAGTTGAGGCTTCGACTTCTTCTGATCTTGTGAAGGGGAAGAGTAAAGCTGCTGGTAAGGATGTGATGATTTTGTTTGACTCTGGAGCTTCTCATTCATTTATTTCTTATGCTTGTGCTGCTATGCTGGGTGTGCTGGTGTGTGACTTGGGGTTGAGACTGCTAGTGTCGACGCCCGCTTCTGCTTCGATAGTTACTTTTGAGCTGTGTGCTGGTTGTCCTATTGTTGTGAATGAGAAGAGGTACAAGGTGAACTTGATTTGTTTGCCTTTGGTGGATATTGACATAATCTTAGGGATGGATTGGTTGTCTGTCAATCGCATCCTTATACATTGTGTCAATAGGAGGCTGATATTTCCTCAGGTGGAGGATGAGCTGTTGATTTCAGCTGTTCAAGCTGAATCATTGTTGAGAGATGGGCAGAGTGCTATCTTCTGCTTGCTGCTATGAGTGTGGAGACTGAGAGGGTCATTCCTGAGATTGATGTGGTGTGGGATTTTGCTGAGGTGGTTTCTTCCAACTTTGTGGACAAATCTAGAACGCAAAAGAACTTTCAAGGGTTGGCCAAAGTCCAACAGGATTAGAACAGAGATGGACATTAGAGAATAACATAATCGTGTAAAAAATTGTTCCTATTGTCACACTCCTGGTCACGCCATCAT